AGGGTTGGACAAACAAACAATATAAATAATTATCACAATATACTTGCAATCAATAGCAACATGACAACGGTTCATAAGTGAGAGGTATAATAGCACATAATTGATCTTCATCAGATTTGTATTAGATACTCTGTTTGAATCCACAATCGTCTTTTAACTTAAAATAAATAATGTGTATATACACGAGTGTCTCATGTTGACTCAACCTAATGGTCCTCTGTCTCTTGTGTGTTGGAATGCATCTCAGTTAAATGCCCCGCGACTCCCTGTCTGTGGCCATGACTAAAAATAAACTCAACTCCTTTGAGCAGTAAGATGCCAATTAACTTCACCGTCTGGCGTTTAAGAATTAAATAATTGTCTCTATATTAGCTAATTGACTTATTTGTCAAGCAGCAGGTCTGAAGGTGCTAAAATAAAACCTAAGCCTAACGCTGCCCATAATAACGAGGCGGAGGCCAGTATTTATCACACTGACAGAACCGTAGAGCCTCAAACAAGAGCGAAACATTTATATTTTATCAATCAGGTTACTCGGGAAATTGCAGCACAAAGGATTAACGAACATCTCCGCTATAAACAGCGTCAAACGCCAGAATAAGAAGAAATATAGAAGATCCCAGACCTGTTCAGACGCCATGTTGACTCTCTCCTGCTCGCAGAGTGACAGGGGACAAACCACTTCTCCACAGCCCGAGGTGAAACTAAATAACAGCCTGTGTTGTGAATTATTATTGAATTATTGAATGAGCGACAAATAACCATACATCACAAAAAGATTCAGTTAAAACAAACCAGAAACGAATACACGGTGGTTTTATTGGAACCGTGCGTGTTGAAACAGACGCTGCCATCATAATAAAAGATGGTTCCTTCCAAGTTCAAGCAGCCAATGACAGAAGGATCCTAAAATAGAAAAACATGTCCATTCAAAACTTCCAACTGCAAAACTGGACACAACAGGAGGATCTGAGCACCATGCACATCCAGTTATTATTCTTACTGTCATCATTAT